TCTTTTTTTATTGCTGGCAGTATTCCATGGTATTTCTGTCCCCCGTTTTGTTTATCCATTTCTACCTGATTTGGATTTGTTATGGGTTTGGGAATAAAATTGCTGATTACAAGTTTTTTGCAAACCTATGTTTTCATCTCATTTGGGTAAACACCTAGGAGCAGGAATGCTGTATCATGTGCTAAGAGTGTTTAATTTCATAAGAAGCTGCTAAATTGTTTTTCCAAAGTGGCCCTACCGTTTGATATTTCCATCCCCCACTTATGAGAGTGCCGGGTGCCCCGCATCCTTGTCAGTCAGTGGATTGCTGCTGAGCTGCACAGAAAGATGACAATCCTTGGGCCTGATGTCGTGTTCCATTGCTGAACTGGTCACACATAGGACGGATGTCCCCTTGAACCTTTTATCAGGTGCGTTGCGTAGAAATCTTGATTTCTTTGTCGAGTCTGTTAAATAGCATTTTTTATTGAAGACACTTGAGTATCTTATGAAGATTTTTGCTAAATCCTAGAGCTTGTGACTGAAACTCTTCATGCCTTTTGAAGTTAGGCAGCAAGAAACAGAGCCCTGAATGCCCCAAGAATGCCTACTGGTGTTTGCTTTTTTGAAAGCGTGTTCTTTCCTTTTGTTCCCAATTGGTAATTACAGTGCCCTAATGGTACCTCTGGAGCAGATGCAGAAGTCTTAGATGAAGAGGGAGGAATTGGGCCGACATAGGCTTTGCATGGGGCGGGGGCCGAGGGTTGGGGGGTGCTGCCGCTACAGCCTGGGGCTGATGCAGTTGTGGCCGGAAGAAATTTACTCGAATTGCCAGCCTTTCCATTCCTTACGGATGCTTCTGTTAAATCATTACATGGGATGTGCTTCCTTCTTTCACCTTTTATGTTAAAACAGGCTTCTGGGGGCGCCTAGGTGGCTTACTTGGTTAAGCATCTGACTCGTAGTTTCGGCCCAGGTCATGATCTCCTGGTTCCTGGGATCTAGTCCCGTGTTGGACTCAGAGTTGAGTGAGGAGTCTGCTTGAGATTCTCTCTCTCCCCTTCTCCGTGCCCCTCTCCAGCTCTCTCTCAAAATAAATGAATTTAACAACAACAACAACAAAATAGGCTTCTGAGCCAGTGGAGCTCTCTGATTCATAGAACGGTGGTAAGTCAAACGGAAGATAACTGGAACCAGTCACGATCCCTCATTGCCACTTTAGGGACTGAACTCCCTAAAATCTAACACACTTTATGCTTCTCCAGTTACAAGTGTTTTTTTGGTGTATTGGTTGTGATGGCTTAACAAAAGTATCTTTGAAAAGAAAGATAAGGGTGCCAGATACTGTTAAATTTACCTCCTGAAGAAAAGTTTTAATTTTTCTGCCAAGAACCATGTCAGGCTTTGTGAGGAGCTTCTCAGCATAAATGTGGCAGTGTTTTTTTTTTGTTTGTTTTTTGTTTTGCTGTTGTTACTAGAACTCTTTCTGTGTCTGCCCGAATGCTGAGACCATTTCAGGGTTCCACACGGACGTAGTTATTGTAATAATTCTAAGTGCCAGTTTCACATAAGAATGTCTTGTAGCAATACATATTATTTTATGAAAATCTCAAGCCTTGAGGACACCTCTTTAATATTCATATGATGAAATGGGAAGTACAGGTAAAGTACATTTGCATCCTCAAGTTCAGTGATGGGCAGGTTATCTCAGGGCAGAGGTCTAGTAGGTAGTGGGACTATATGCCAAGGATCCAAAGGACTGCAAAGAAATCTGAAACTCGATTGTCGTTGGTGGTTATTGTTGGTAGTGGTGTTTGTTGGTGGTATAAGTTGGAAACTATTTTGTGTGTGTTGTAGATAAAGCAAGTGGGTACGTATATGAGAAATAGAGTTGGAGGTTTTTTTTAAATAAAAAGTTCTAAGTATTTATTTATTTTTGAGAGAGACAATGAGAACATAAGCGAGGGAGGGGCAGAGAGAGGGAGAATCCTGAGCAGGCTCTGCACGGGGCTCGAACTCACAAATCCAGTGATCATGACCTGAGCCAAAATTAAGAGTCGGACGCTTAACTGAGCCACCCAGGTGCCCTGAGAGCTGGAGTTTTCATTGTGGGGGAAGGGAGATACTAATGGGGGAGTTGCTGTACTGGATTTGAGTTCAAGGTGTCATTATGAACATGTGATTTGGGATATTTAAAATATCGTTGCTCTGTCCTGGCAAAGAGCTTAGAAGCAGTGATACTTAGCCAGCAAGGAGCACACCGAGTTCTCAGATCTGATTTCTAGATGCCAGTGCGCACCTTGGAGAAATGGCTGATCCGAGGTCTGGGCAGGGAAAGTGTAAGGCTCACTTGGCACAGTTGTGCCTCAAAGGAAAGAGGTGCCCACAGACTATTAGGGTTGTGTCAAAAGGACATAGAAACTCTCTTGAAGGAGCTCCCCCAGTGGCCAAATTTAGGACAATTTGAACATCAGTAATAATGGTGACAGTAATGGATTATATAACGTTGAATAAAAAAAAAATTCCATGAATCTACATGGGAGGGAGAGAAGGGGAAAGGGGAAGACAGCAAGAAAGAGAATATTGTGTTCCAGAAGAGTGCCAGCTAGTACATAAAGGATGAATCAAATTTGAAAATGACCATTTTGCAACCCCTAGTGTGTAGTAATTGATTCAGGTAAGACTTATCAATGGTTGCTGAAACTACTGAGTGAATTGTTATCAGGGGAAGGATATCCACAGAATGTCAACTATCACCCTACTTATTTCTCACTAAGTAAAAAGGGGAAGAGGTATTTTTGCTAAGGAGAAATCTGGCACGTTCTACCCCCACTTGTTGATCAGAGAGCATCACCACTAAAAAAACAGACAGCCAGACATGCTGTGCTTTCTGAATAAAGCAGCAGCAATGCCTACAAAATAGTCATCATCTTCCCAGAAAGAAGTGAACTTGAATCTGCTGAGCTTATAACTTCAACTACCAAATCACAGGAAATCCACAGGGACAGGGGAGTCTGGTAAATATCATCTTGCAGCTGCAACAAACAAACAAAACTTCAGCCTTCCAGACTCTTGCAAACTCTACAATCAGATGACCCAGTTTGTTCAAAAGTAAGTTACCAAAAGAAAAAAAAAGGACACCTGCGACCTATTGATGTGTATTTGGACCCTATTCAAATCATGATACAAATGAACTGTGAGTTACAAAAATAAGTTAACAGAACCTAGAACACAGACTGTATTTGCCCATGATACGGGTGAAATGATACTATGTCTGCAGTTGCTTCAAAATGATTTGGAAGGAGGGCATTTGAGTAGAGCTACAGATGAATCAAATTGAGCCATGAGCAAATAATTGCTAGGGAGTCCATGTGTGTATTCCTTATACTGTTCTACCTACTTAAGAATATGTTGGGAAATTTTTATAATTATGTTAAAAAAACACTGATTATTAGGGGATAACCTGATATATTTGTGCCTCTTTTTGCATTGCATCTGCGTAGAATCGTCAACAGTATTTATCTTAAATATATCAGGAATCGGGGCGCCTGGGTGGCGCAGTCGGTTAAGCGTCCGACTTCAGCCAGGTCACGATCTCGCGGTCCGTGAGTTCGAGCCCCGCGTCAGGCTCTGGGCTGATGGCTCAGAGCTTGGAGCCTGTTTCCGATTCTGTGTCTCCCTCTCGCTCTGCCCCTCCCCCGTTCATGCTCTGTCTCTCTCTGTCCCAAAAATAAATAAACGTTGAAAAAAAAATTTTTTTTTAAAAATAATAAAAAAAAAATATATCAGGAATCAATCACATAAGCTCAGGATGTATGACATTCTACAAGGCAGTCGTCCTAGGCTATTTAAATAATGTCAGTGTTACGAAAAGCAACAAAAAACAGTGTCCGAAAAAAACGAAGACAATGCATGATATCTGGTTGAATGGATCCCCTTTGTCCCCCCAAAATTACTAAAGACATTTTGGTGACAGTTGTAGATATTTAAATATGAACTTGTAGTAAATGATATTATGGAATTAATATTAATTATTTAGGTGTGATTGTAGTTTTGGTGCTGTATAGGAGAATGTTTTTATGCTCGGGAGATGTGTGCTAAAGTATTTTAGGGTGAATTAGTATGTTTTCTGCAACTTACTTTGAATATACGTGGATTGAGTTGGCTCATGCGAAATGGCTGTTTTTCTAGGTCACAAACAGTGAAATAGTAGCTAATGCCTATGGTTCCACCTGATGTTTGTTGAAAGAGAAAACAAGCAAATGGGGCTCCAGATGAAGAATATATGGATGTTTGTAGTGTTCCTTCACCTTCCTGTGGCTTTGAACTTTTTCAAAGTCACGAGTTGGGAACAAATAGGCAGTCAACATACGAACAGGAACTCTCAGCAAATACATACTTGTTAGATCAAGTGTGCTGACAACATTCTTTCTTGGGATAATTGCCCATAATACGGTTTAAATTCTCTTGGGATTAATTCTAGAAGTACTTGATTGAGAATATAGAAAAGGAGTAAATCTGCTTACTTTATTGTGTGAATTTTCACATCTGAATCAGATGACAAAAGGAACAGAAAAATTAAAGAGCTATAGGTGGAAATGAAGAAAAGAGGAGCTTAGTAATTACCTTATGTAATGTTTTTTACATGGATGACATTTAAAGACAGATCCAGTGTAGGAGACAAATAGATTGTGGTTTCTCAGAAACCAATGATGGTTTCCTTATTTTTTGTGTGAAGAGGTCAAAAACAGCATCTATCTAGCTATGGCCTTGACATTCTCTGTAAGATGGGATAGATCTCTAGAATTTGAAAAAGAACAGTTTTGTTCTCCGTTCCCCCTCTTCTTTTGTTGCCCTGAGGTATCAGCTGAAGCACATTTTGCTCGGTTACTGGGGTCTTCTGGGCGACCATGGCAGATTGATAGAGCTAGGAGATGCTAATTCCTACTCCTCTCTAGAAAATTCCCCTAAGTGAACCCAGCCCCTGGTTTTATGCTTCTTCTTTTTTGAATCCAAAACAGATCCCTAAAGAAGTGGCTGACATCTTTAACGCCCCCAGTGATGATGAAGAGTTTGTCGGTTTCCAAGATGATGTTCCCATGGAAACCTTCTCATCAGAAGAGAGCTGTGATAGTTTTGACTCTCTGGAGCCAGGGAAACAGGTACGGATGCTTCCTTTTCTGACAGGTGTGGCCTTTTGGAAGCCTGGATCTTGGTTTGGGTATTCTTTTGAGTGTGGTCTGAGATTGGTGATAGCAGTTGATGGTTGAGCATTTTTGAAGCATTATGCCTTCATATTTCAAGAACCAGTGAGCATTCCTACATCACTTATACTGTTTAAGTCCTTTCTGTGTACAGTAAATTTTTTTTTTTTTTTTTTTTTTTTTTTTTTTTTTAATAAAAATGTCTCACATCGGAGCCATTTTCTTTGCAACCTCGGGGCTGCAGCCTGTGTTGAGGCTGTATTCTGAGTGCTCCCACATGGCTGGCAGGAGCCATGGCAGTGCAGGAACATGTGGTTACCATGAGACATTTGTGTTTCTGTGCTCCTGCGGCGTGGTTCTTCCGGCACCTCACTCCTGGACGTGCTGGGGAGAACGTTATTCTTTGTTTAATTACTTAGATCTCTGGCAAACACAAGTTGCATTTCTCGGAGAGTTGGATTCCTGGAGGTTTATATTGTGCCTTAGCAGCAGCATGGCCAGTCAAAATAGCTAGCCTTCTGTGGCACTTACTTCGGAGTTCATTGTGGCTCTCAAAATTCCTCATCCTCCCTGGACCATAGCCTGTCTTAAAAGGCTGTAAATTAAACCTGCCTTGCTTCAACTGGGCAAGTACAGGAGGAGAAGCAGTTAATTACATAGGGGTAGTGCCTGCTTCGTCACTCGGCTGCCTGTGTGTGTTGTGGCCTCTGTGGGAGCTGGTCTTTCTCGGGTTCAGTAGCCTCCCTGGTGTCTGTGGTCCTCACTTTCCTTGATGTCTCCGTAGCATTTGACCCACCAGCCACCTGCTTCCACTCCCCAGGCTTCTTCCTCTCTCTCACATCATTCATTCTTTGTGGTCATCTCTATTTCCTGTCCCCATATGTGGATGTTCTTCAGGATTTTGTGTCCAGACCTTTCCTTTTCGTGACCTAGGGGTTGGCCTGCTTTCAGCCATTACCTCCAAGTTCTCAATGACTTGCCTTCTCTCCAGCCCCACATGTAACCTGACTGCCAGTTGGACCAGCCTTTTTTTTTTTTTTTTTTTTAATTTTTTTTTTTTCAACGTTTATTTATTTTTGGAACAGAGAGAGACAGAGCATGAACGGGGGAGGGGCAGAGAGAGAGGGAGACACAGAATCAGAAACAGGCTCCAGTCTCCGAGCCATCAGCCCAGAGCCTGACGCGGGGCTCGAACTCACAGACCGCAAGATTGTGACCTGGCTGAAGTCGGACGCTTAACCGACTGCGCCACCCAGGCGCCCCATGGACCAGCCTTGATCAAGGGAGATCTCACACTCACCATTTTCCCTTCCCTGGTTGTCCCTTTGTCTTCCTCATTCCTATCCTTATCTTTGGTGTTCTTGACCCCTCCTTCTCCTCTCCCATCTCCCCAGCTCCCTTGCAGGAGTCTCTGAATCTTCTGCCATGTTGCTGTCCTTCATCCCTTCCCTTTTCTCCTCCCTTCGGCTCCCAGGGTCCTCATAGCCTTTACTTCAGTTACAGAACTGAGCTCTGGTCATGATCATGGCCTTATTCAGAAGCCAGTAGTCTCTCCATCTGAACACAGTCAGGCAGTGGGGGAGGGGAGAGCCTGTAGATCCACCAGGAGGAGCATTCTGAGCAGTGCAGGGTGTGGGTGATGGGCTTTGCCTAGAGCCCAGCAGTGCTGTAGGCGTTAAGAAACAAAGCAGCTTGCATATCTTGGCTACAGTAAATAATGCTGCAGTAAACATAAGGCTTTCAAATTAGCATTTTTATTTTCTTTGGGTAAATATCCAGTAGTGGAATTAGCGGATCATATGGTATTTCTATTTTTAATTTTTTTAGGAACCTCCATACTGTTTTTCCGCAGTGGCCGCAATAGTTTGCGTTCCTAGCAACAGTGCATGAGGGTTCCACATCCTCACCAACAGTTGAGTTCTTTTCTTTTTGTGTTGGCCATTCTGAGAGGTGTATGGTGACACCTCATTGTGGTTTTGATTTGCATTTTCCTGATGATGAGATAGGGAAGCAGCCTAAGTGTCCATCAGAAGAAGAATGGATAAAGAAGATGCTGAAAATGTATATGATGGAATATTATGCAGCCATAAAAAGGATGAGATAGTTGCCTTTTGCAACAACATGGATGGACCTAGAGTGTATCATGCTAAGTGAGATAAGTGAGACTGAGAAAGACAGATACCCTATGACTTCACTCAGGTGGCATCTAAAAATTAAAAAGCAAAATCAGACCTATAAATACAGAGAACAAAGTTGTCAGCAAGGAGGGAACTGGGGAGATGGGCAAAATGGGTGAAGGGGAGAAGGAGAACTAGGCTTCCAGTTTTGGAGCTAATAAGTCAGGGCAATAAAAGGCACAGCTTAGGGAATACAGTCACTGACACTGTAATGGAGTTGTATGTTGACAGATGGTAGCTACACTTGTGAGCCTAGCATAATGTATAATATTGTACACCTAGAGGTAATGTAACATTCTGTGTCCGCTCCACTCAAAATTTAAAACAAAAAGCCACAACAGCTGCTTTTGATACTGTGACTGCTGCTACTTTTGTGCTGTCAAGCTTGCCCATCCTGTCCGTCCTGGCCACCCCTGCCGAGTCTGTCGCCAGTGTGCCTTAGATGGCCCGTGACCGTGTGCTTTTCATACAGATTGCATTTAATTCGTGTACCTCCCTGGGACAGTGTGGGTTTTGTTATTATTCCTATCTCACAGGGGATGAAACTGAAGCTCAGGGCAGTGAAGTGACTCGTCTGAGCGCCCACGTCTGAAAAATGTCTGAGCCGGGGTGTTTCAAACCTGGGAGCATCACCTCTCAGCCTCTTCCCTCTCCCTGACCCTCTGTGGTGCCGTAGACACAAAACTGCGTGGACGCCCTCATCGTGCACTGGTCTGCCCTTTGTACACGCTGGTCCATGCTGTGCCTTCTGCTTGCGTGTCCTTCTAGACTCTACCTCGGTTCAGATCCAGTCTAGATGCTGCTGCTTCCTGAAGTTTTACTGGGTTTTCTTTTTTTCTGTGTGCCATGTTGCATCTTCCTTACAACTCTGGTCCTCATCATGGTTACTTGTGGATCTGTCTCACTCCACACTAAATTGTAACCTCTGCAGTGTTTGAACGATGCTTTCCAGCTTTCCTGGCTTGGACTGCGTACTTGTGTTGTCCCTTCCCTCATGTTCTCTGGGCTCAGCCCCTGTTGGTGAATGAGCGCCCATTGGCTAGAATTGAGGTGGGATGCTGGTCTAACTGGTTCAGGCCCCATCGTTTTCCAGTCTGTTTCTTCACGTCCCATGAGCTTCAAGATAAAAAATGTAAGCACTGTGTTAGATCCTCTTATCTGTTACTTCGTTACGTCCCTGATTGTGGTACATAAACACAGGTGACCAAGATGCAGAACATACCGCCTGGTATTGATTGTAAAGGATCACATGCTGCAGAACCAAGAGCTGTGTGAGGGTTGTAACCAGGATTGCAGCCAGAATGTGGAGTGGATATTTTACTTCATACAGACTCCCCTTAAAAAACAGGGTTTTTTTAATATCTTGTGGAATAAGGAGAAGAAAAGCAGAGGCCTTGGTTTAGGACTGTGGCTAAGTTGTTTTTCTCTGTTAGAACTCATCACCAAAGGTATTGATTTCTCTCAGGCCGACCACTTCCCTCTGAGGCCAGCTCAAAGGCTAAAGAGAGCCAGAGGACCAGACGGTTGAAACTTGCTGTTCTAGGATGTGACCTGTTCTCTCTGGGCCCTAGGCAGGGACTGTGGGTGTATGATAAATGTACACATAGACCCCATTGCCCGAACACAGCCTGCAGAGGCCAGCTCAGGGCTCTGTGAGCAGGATATTATCTACCCTTGGAGGTGGCAGGTTCACGGTGGGTTTCCTTGGAGCCAGCTATGCACCATTCTTTTTAATAATAAACCCAGGCCTGTTGCTTTACCACCCTGAGCCCACACTTTCCCGATCCATGGTAACCAGCCGAGAGAAGCTGCATGAACTTGCACACAGTATGTAGCAATGTTGACTTTGGTCTTCCTTAAACACAATTTGAATTTCACTTTAAAGAAACTTCCCTTTTGTGTTTGTATTTTTTTTTTTTTCAAGCAGCTGCACCATAGCTATCAACAAAGGAACAAAGTAATTTAGCTCCAAGCACACTCACTCCAATTACCCGTAATAATTCATAGGAGACATTTAAGCTTAAAAAATGCTGGATATAGGCATTTCTTTCTCTTTCCCCCTGTAAATTTTTCCACTCATCTATTATATCTATTTTTCTCCAGAGATTATCTGATCTGAAGAAGTGTATAATTAAAGTCAGAGAGAGGCAGTGGGGGGAGATCAAGATTCTCCCAACTAAATGTGGTATGATGAGGGGTCATTGCTATATCGGGTGTGGGAGGAAGAGACGTCAGAGGCAACTGGGGACACGGACTTCAGCCCTGGTTGCCAGCTTGGAGGAGGCTGGTTTGTGGGTCTCCTTTCTGCACTGCAGGTCTGTCTTCTCCCTCTTTTCTTTCAAGATAATCATTTAGAGAGCTATTTTTCCATTTAGAGAGCTAGAGAGTATTTTTCCTTTTATGGGTTCTAAAGACCGAGTCAGTCATTGGAAAATGTCTTTCCTTTTTAAATTTTTTTTTTTTTTCAACGTTTATTTATTTTTGGGACAGAGAGAGACAGAGCATGAACGGGGGAGGGGCATAGAGAGAGGGAGACACAGAATCGGAAACAGGCTCCAGGCTCTGAGCCATCAGCCCAGAGCCTGACGCGGGGCTCGAACTCACGGACCGCGAGATCGTGACCTGGCTGAAGTCGGACGCTTAACCGACTGCGCCACCCAGGCGCCCCTGTCTTTCCTTTTTAAAAGTCTTAGAGCATCTTTCTGTCTGCTCACTTGCTACCTCTTGGAGGTTGCTGGCCTCGTGTCTCCTGCAGGAGGGGCTCTCCTGGGAGTTGGGAAGATTGACGCTCCCATCACCCCTTCCGGTGGGTGGTGATGGAGCAAAGCCGTGGGCGGGAAGGGGCGCAAAAGGCGCTGGCCCCTTCCTGCAGAGAAACTTGCCCTCTCTGGAAGGGAGGCATGCTCACCAACTCGGAGGACGTGGATTTGGATGGCTGCTAGGAAGGAAGGCCAGCATGTGGGAGGGAGCCAGGCCTTCTCCTCATGGCTCCTTCCCGTGTGTGTTTGGCTCTCTGTGAGCAGACCTTCCCGATGGGCAGCCCTGGCGGGAGAAACGGAATTCTACCAGCGCTCCCCAGTCACACAAGAAGCTGACGGAGCCCCTGGCCATTCTGACTTTTTGAAATAATGCTGTTTTATCGTTTCAAGTTGTTCAGCTGTTTCAGATTATTCCGTTTTCGTAAGCTGTAGCAAATGTGTATGTATATGTATGTTTTGTTATTGTGGTAAAATATACATAATGTGAAATTTACCATTTCACCATTTTTTAAGTGCAGGCAAGTGCCCAGTTTCTTGCAAGCAAGATGCTAAGTGCCATTAAGTACATGCACAGTGTTGTGTGTCTGTCAGCTGTTATCCAGAACGTTCTCATCATCTCAAACAGAAACTCTACCCGTTAAACAACTCCTCATTGTCCCCGACCCCCCTGGTAACCTCTGTTCTTTTTCCTTTATGACATATGTGTGTTTTTAATTTAGCAGGATGTGCGTTTCCATTCTAAATACTTCACAGAAGAGCTAAGAAGAATTTTTATAGAGGACACTGACTCAGAAACGGAAGAATTTGAAGGATTTACACAGAATGATCTGAATGTAAACAGTAACCCAGAAGTAATGGTAATAATTATCAACACGAGACAGTATGGGTTGTAATATTTTTCAGTCTTGTTTCTGAATTGTATTTTCACTTGTAAGAAGTCACTTGGCAAATGAATGACTTCTTCTTACATGTTTATCTTAATTTTTTTTTAAGTTTACTTATTATGGAGAGAGAGAGAGAAGGTGTGAGCACGCACGCAAGAGTGAGCACACGTGGGGGAGGGGCACAGAGGAGAGACAGAATCCCAGGCAGGCTCCACACCATCAACACAGAGCACAAGGTGGGGCTTGAACTCACAAACTGAGATAATGAGTTGAGATCGAGAATCGGCTGCTTAACTGGCTGCACCACCCAGGCACCCCCCCCCCCCCCCCCCCCCCCCCCCCCCCCCCCCGCCGCATGTTTATCTTAAAAGTCAGTTAATAAAATATAAAAGTTGGTATTCCAAGGCTAATCCCCAGTCCACCAATCCATTATTCTCTGAGAGAAAATCCAGTTGTCTTTCTTTGATACCTTTGGAGTTTGGGGAGACTTACCTCAGTTTCCCTTATTGCCCTTCCAAAAGAATTTATTTCAGATTTTCTTGAATATCTTTTCTCTGAAAAGAGGACAGTCTGTCTGGGGGTAGCAATTTCCTTAAAGTCATTTCTTGTTGTGTGCGGAGTCATGTTCTTAGGTTTGGAGTTAATGTGGCAAAAATTTAGCTGTGGCAAAACTTAGAGCTTTACTTGCGCATTCTTGATTTGGATGCTGACGTGCTCTTTAAATGATAAAGAAGACCTGGGCTTGTCAGATTCCTGAGGGAAATCTCTTAGCATTTGACCTTCAAGAGACTTGTTGATTTTCCTTTACTCCATATGTTTAGGCCAGTTTATTGCCAACTAGTATTTGAATCTCAAGGTACCTTTAAAGAACAACCTTTGGGGGGTACCTGGGTGGCTCAGCTGGTTAAGCGTCTGACTTCAGCTCAGGTCATGATCTCACAGTCTGTGAGTTCGAGCCCTGTGTGGGGGCTCTGTGCTGATAGTTGGGATTCTGTATCTCCCATTCTCTCTGCCCCTCCCCCATCCCTGCTTGAGCTCACTCGCTCGCTCAATCTCACACGTACACACAAACACATACACACTCTCTAAAAATAAACAAACATTAAAAAAATTTAAACAAAAAGCGAAACTTAAAACCTTTGGGTTTTTTTCAGACATAAAAATGTTTTCCATTAACTGAAAAAGAGCATACCTTTCTCCCCCAAAATCATTACACCACTTCCTTCTTGGGTATGAAGATAAAGGATAGAGGTAAAGCCTCTTGATGTTCAGAAGCTCCTAAGCAGCAGAATCTGGTGTGGAACTTGTGTAGAAATTTAAATAAGCTGTAACTATTGGTTTGCTATGCCGCTCAACTTTTCCTGGGGGGATCTTAAGGCCTGAAAGCCCTAATGGTAGGCTGGCTTGTTTGATGTTGATCCCCCAACCCCATCACCAGGAAGAGCAACACAGAGCTCTGCCAGCCTAGTCCCCAAGCCCTCCTTTGGCCTTCAAAACGGAAGCTGCTGGTAAGGCAGTTGATGTGTTCTGGACAGCAAGACACTAAGATCTTTCCAAACCCTAATGGGTATCCCGTACTCTTAGTGACCCCAGAAGTCTTTTTTCTTTTCACTGGCCATATATTTGGGGTATGGATCGTGACATGTTCTGTTGACTGATGTTAACTCATAGCTTAGGGGAGGTCCACCTGCAGATTTTATTTTATTTTATTTACTTATTTATTTTTTACTTTTTAAAAAATGTGTACTTACTTTGAGAGAGAGAGAGAGTGTGAGCAGTGGAGGGGCAGAGAGAGAGAAACCCAAGCAGGCTCCACACTGTCAGCACAGGGCCCGATGCGGGGCCCAAACCCACAAACCATGAGATCATGACCCGAGCCACAATCAGGAGTCAGACATGTAACTGACAGAGCCACCCAAGTGCCCCTGCAGATTTTATTTTAAATTTCAGTGAGCAGAGTCACCTGGGTTGCTCCGTCGGCTGCACGTCCGACTCTTTGATTTTGGCTCCGTCATGATCTGTTACGAGGTCAAGCCCCATGTTGGGCTCTGCACTGACAGTGTGGAATCTGCTTGGAATTCTCCCCCCCCACCCCTCCGCCCGCCTCTCTCTTCCCTTCCCTGCTTGTGCTCGCTCTATCTCTTTAAAGATAAACATTTAAAAATAAAATTCAGTGGGCAAGCAAACATTATTGCCTCCCTCCCCAACCTCCTGCCCACTGTAGTGGAGACTGGTGAGACCATCTTTTCCGATAATAGGATATTACTAGCCAGGGTGTTTGTTGGGTGGTCTTACAGCCGTATGTGCAGCAACCACAGCTGTGTTCTTGTCCTGTGGTCTTGAGTCTCCACTGGTGTTTCCAGTTTGCTCTTGTCCACTTTAGTCCCTTATAGAGAGTCCTTAGTAAAGAGATACTGGTTAGATGATGAAGAAGATAAAGCCAATCTGAGACCACCTTGCTCTGAAGTTCTTCCAACAATGTCTTCCTAAAACTAGATTCCTTCAATCCCACTGTTTCAAATTACAAAGCTACTAATGTAGAAAGTTCAGGATACTTAAAAAAAACAAAAACAAAAAAAACCCAGTTAACCATAGTCTCATTTCTCTACTTGGTTTGTTGTGGATTGATACAAAACACCAAGATTTGGAAATTACCTGCAGTTTTCTTTCCTTCCTCTGCCTTATTTCTAATTTGCGTCCAGCTAGAACGTGGGGGCTGATCACTGAGGAGGAAGCAGAGTCATTTCCCTCAGTCCCAAGCCCATCATGCTGTGGTTCCCTGCTCTCCTCACAGTGGCCTGTTGTGCAGTCCCTGACAGAGGCTCTCAGACTAAACTTTTCCAGCACGTGGTAAAGGAAAGATCCCCAGCAGGTGGCCTGGGTCTCGATGTTGAAGCCCATCTTTGCCATTGCTAAGGGCCCCCTTGTATTTGAGGTGTCACCCGCCGTCTCCTGGGTAATATCACCGGCCATTGCCTTCTGTTCTTACTGTGCTCTTGTGTGTCAATCTCAATTTCGTGTTCATGCCAGAAGCCTATTCCAAGCGGAATCCAAAAATTTGGGGCAGGAGTTTCTTGAGCTGATGGAACGGGTCTTTCCCAGCAAAGCCACAGAGGGTCTGCCTCGATTTCACCCTATGGCTCTACTGGTTGCAGAAAAGGGGAGGGGATGTCCCTTGGCGTGAGGGCCCATCATGTCTTGGGGATGAGACTCCCTCACCAACCCCAGTGGCCAGTCATCTGCTTGCTCCTCCGACACCTTGCTGAGGTGAAGTCAGCTGTCCTGTTCCTGCTGTTCAGGGCAGAATTGTCAGTATGTTTTCCCTTAGCACTCCATCTGTGTGAGGATAACTCTTAGGCCATACATAGCCTTTTCTTTGGCTTTGCCTCATACTACTTGGCTTCCATATGTTCCACAGTGGAGGAGCCCCGTCCGTGAGAGCATGGCTTCCAGCCCGTGCTGGGAAGGGAACAGTCTGCTGGTGGCTGTGGCCGGATCCCCAGGCAGTGGTGGAGAGCCTGCCCTGGGACCATAGTCATCAACAGACCACCTGAGCACTTAATGGACCAGAGGGAACTAATTAATAGGGAGGGGAGGCTTTCTTCTACTCATTTTTTTCTCTAATGGCAGAGTGTTTTTAAGCGATGTGCTTTTGAAGGTCAGTCACAAAACATCGTCTTTGCCCTTTCATTTTGTCAGCTTGTGGAGTCAGATTTGAGCGATGCTGGTAAGGTGTCTTCAGCGAGTGAAGAAGAGGAGGAAGAAGAAAAGGCTACACCCAGGAGAAGCAGGCCGAGGAGAAGCAGTATTGGTCTTCGAGTAGCCTTTCAATTCCCCACCAAAAAACTGGCAAAAAAATCTGATGACAGTTCTTCTGAGCCGCTATTTCCTAGCAAACGCTTACAGGACAATAAAAAAGCAATTCTTGGAAGAAAGAGAAGCTGCAGACAGGGGAAGGAAAGGGAAGATTCGGTGTCTGAATCTGAGGATGACTCCAGGGATGAGGGCCAGGAGAGCTCGGATGCGCTGCTGAAAAGGACCATGAACATCAAGGAGAACAAAGCCATGGTAAGGCCTGGCGGCGGGTGGTCTAGGAGCTGGCACTGAGCCCTGCTTAGCGACCACAGAGGCTCACGGAGCTGCCCTCATAGCTGCTGTCGTCTGGGCTTCTGTCAGGACATGTGCTCTGGTTCTTATGTGTCCTTTCTCTGTTCCTGAAGGCCAACCAGTTACTACCCGGTGAGCTCTGGTTTGGGAACAGAGACTCCCAGGACCATTTTTAGCCCTGGTTCCTGGTAGTATTGGACAGGAGAGGGTTGAGCACTTGGCCGGTTCCCAGCACAAAGAAACTAAGGATAAAAAGAGAAGCCCACTTTGAGAGTTGCAAGGTGCAGTTTAGGTGGGGGCTTTCAACAGGAATCTTTCTTCTTTGATGACCCACTGGGGTTTTAAGACATCATATGAGAGAATGAAAGAGGCCTAGGTATTAAAACACACTGAACAGTTTTGAGTCACGTTACCACTTAAGTCTTCAGTAGAATGAATAATGATACAAGGTAAAATCTTGGTTCCGTGTATTTGGTTTTTCTGTATTTGGTCAGTAACTATTGTTTGCTTCGTAATTTTGCATATACAGAATTAATAAAATTCTGCCACTCAATCACTTTAGCATTTTGGTATATTTGTAATAATTTCTTTTTAAAAAGCATAATATAATGATGCTTTGTTTGCAATCTTACACGTCTAATAAGTTATTTAAGAAAATAGAAAGCCTAGGGGCACCTGGGTGGCTGAGTCAGTTAAGTCCACCTTCGGCTCAGGTCATGATCTCACGGTTCATAGGTTTGAGCCCCGCAGTGGGCTCTGTGGTGATAGCTCAGAGGCTGGAGCCTGCTTCAGATTCTGTGTTTCCCTCTCTCTCTGCCCCTCCCCTGCTCGTGCTCTGTCTCTTGTCTCTCTCTCTCAAAAGTAAATACACTTAAAAATTTTGTTTTTAATTAAAAAAAGTTACATAAATCCTATTTGTGGGAGAAATTTATCCTAAGACCTGTTTATACTTATTAGCTAAGGGAAATTTTTAGCACTGCATCTCTCTGCATCTTTAAAATAAATGTTCATGATTTTTTAATGATGCCTAAACATTCGTATAAATAAGAATCCTAATTGACTAGAATATTATCGCCTGTTACTTGGTATTCTTAGGTGTTTATTTGGGAATATTTCCATTAAGTTATTCTTAGTGATGAGAAATTAACTTAAACAGTTTTCTTGGAGCTCTAAACAACTGTCAGAACAATCTAGTTGAGCCTTTTGTTTTGAACACGATGAAACTTGCTTTAGGTGTGCACAGTGACCTGTTCTAGGGTCACACTGTGAATTAGTGGCCATGTCAGGATTCCAGCCTCATACACCTGGTCTCATCATTCCAAGGACCACTTCTTCATGTCACGCTTTCGTATATAAGGAATGGGCATAGATTTTATTTCTGTGGATGCTATCAATATCTCATTAGATAAAAATCTTGGCGTGCCTGGGTGGCTCAGTCGGTTGAGGATCCGACTCCTGATTTTGGCTCAGGTCATGATCTCACTGTTCCTAGGATCAAGTCCTGTGTCGGGCTGTGCGCTGACAGTGCTGAGCCTCCTTGAGATAGTCTCTCCCTTTGTCTCTCTGCCCCTCCCCCCCTCACTTGCATATGCCTTCTCTCTCTCAAAATAAACATTAAATAAAAATCGTGTGGTGTCTGGGTGGCTCAGTCAGTTAAGCACCTGACTCTTGATCTTGGCTCAGGTTATGATTTCACGGTTTGTGGGATTGAGCCCTGTGTCAGGCTCTGTGTTAACAGCTCAGAGCCTACTTGGGATTCTCTCTCTGCCCTTCCTCCACGCAGTCTCTCTCTCTATGTCAAAATAAACTTTAAAAAATGTGTTTACATATGAGGTTAAAAAATACAACAACTGTTGAGATCCCACATGAACTACTTTAGTCAAGTTTTTACTGTTGGCAAAACTGAAGACTTGGGATAGAGGCATTAGACAAATTTGGCATGGCAATATTGATGTACGGTCCTTTCTTTTGTTCTGAACTTCAGCTGGCTCAGTTATTGGCAGAACTGAACTCAATGCCGGATTTCTTCCCAGTACGAACCCCAAACTCAGCCTCTGTAAGTAGAACTCCTTTATAATTACTTACTCCAATACTGATGAACATAATCTGTTGCCAGATGGCTTTTATTCAAGAAAGCACCTGGTTGCAAACGTCTGTGCTCTTGCTTTCAGAAGAAGAGAACAGTGAGGCGGGCTTTCTCCGAGGGACAGATCACAAGACGCACTAACCCCACCCGGAGTGCGCGGCCTCCTGAGAAATTTGCCTTGGAGAACTTCACTGTCTCTGCTGCCAAATTTGCAGAAGAGTTTTACAGTTTCAGGAGAAGGAAGACAATTAGCGGGGTATTTTCTCAGCACCATAAACATATTATTGTGTGTCTAAGCAATAAGTATGCGGCAGTTGAGCATGGGCATTTCTACCAGGTTCCCAGGTGGAGCTGGTGTTGCCGGGACCACACTCTGAGAAGAACCCTCACCCCCATCTAGGCTGTAGGCTGGAGAAAGGCCTTGACCTGAGTAGAGCAGAGGAGCTGCTCCAGGGTTAGGACCCTCTACTTCATCTTCACGGGGGGCACGAAAGGCCTGTCAGTGGTGCCAGGTTGCCCTGGGGTTTTGGCCGTGGGAAAGGGCAGTGATTCCTCCTAGCCCTTTGAGTTTTAGGAAGGGGGCATTCTAAGTGCTTTTGGGCTAGAGCGAGAAACAACCCTTCCCGTTGGCAGGTTTGGCCATCCGTCGTGGTTCTTGTCTCTGTCCTTACAGGGTTCACGGCTGGTGACTTGTTGATCAGGTAAACCTGAGCTGCTCCTTTATTGTTGGACCACCTTGCCGTGCAGGAGGTTTGGCACTGTGTCTGTGGTGGCAGCTCAGTAGATGATTCCAGGGAAATCGGAGAGGGACACAGTTAACATTTATGGTACTGGAGCTCTGAGAGTGTGAAATTTTTATGCATGTTTTTTAATCAGAACATCTCACACCAGGTTCTGCTTTGGCTCATCTTGCAGGGGAAATGCCAGGCGTATAGACGGCGTCACCGTGTATCTTCCTTTCGGCCAGTGGAGGATATCACTGAAGAGGACTTAGAAAATGTTGCCATCACCGTTCGAGATAAAATCTACGATAAAGTTCTGGTAAATTCTGTATGATGAATAATTTGCACGATTGTGATTCTAACTGGGAGTCCAAGGAACTGGTATTAGAAATCCTGCATTGTCTTTAAACTGCATCTGGGCTTAGACCCTCAGGCCGCCTCCCTTGTGACTGGGAGGACCAGCTGTAACTGGGTGGAGGGAGTTGGCTTCCTGTGGGAATTCTCCTCAGGAGAGGTCTCTGGGGGATGCACATGAGTTGTGGGGAGGCAGGCATATAGTTTGGAAGAGCATATTGATAATAGTTAACATTTTAAATATTTATATGGTATTTATTTAAAGAAAAATTTTTTAACGTTTATTTTTGAGAGAGTGCAAGCAGAATCTGAAGCAGGTTCCATGCTCTGAGCTGGCAGCACAGAGCCTGATGTGGGGCTTTGAGGTCACAAACTGAGATGACCTGAGCCAAAGTCAGATGCTTAACTGACTGAGCCACCCAGGTATCCCTGGTGTTTATTTAAAAAAAAATTTTTCTTAATGTTTGTTTATTTTTGAGAGAGAGACAGAGTGTGAGCGGGGGAGGGGCAGAGAGAGAGAGGGAGACCCAGAATCCGAAGCAGGTTCCAGGCTCTGAGCTGTCAGCACAGAGCCCGATGCGGGGCTCGAACCCACAAACTGTGAGATCATGACCTGAGCCGAAGTCGGACGCTCAACCGACTGAGCCACCCAGGCGCCTTTCCCCCGCCCCCCGTGTTTATTTTAAACATAGAAGAGAAAAAATACTGTGTTGGTGTGTGTGCCTTTTGATGAACAGAACCATAGTAAAAGAAGTTTGACAGTATCTGTGGTTGGTAGGAAATGCGTTAAAATTTCTTTTAAACAGTGATTTGGAGGGAGGCTTTGTGGTGTTATGCATCATTTTTTAAATGAGGCAGTGTCCCATTAAGGCAATATTAAAATGTTTTTAATGTCATTGCCAACATTTTAACACCGGGAAATTTTATACTGAAAAGCTCCAGATCAGCAGAAGCTGGGCCAGAGCCAAATGTGGCTGCCGTGGGCTCAGGGCCACTTGGGCCCCTGTCACCCTCTGTGGGCTCTTCCTCTCCTGTCTTTCTGCTGGCCTCTCTGACCATCTCATTTCTTCTAGGTGCCCTGCTCTTACTTGCTCTAATAGGTTTCCCTGTGGTTTGGACCAGAGAAGTGGTGCTGCTCGCTGCGGGGCGAGAGGCTCAGCCTCTTGACGCCCTATTGAACATACATAGACAGCATGTGGGCTTGCGCGCTTTGCCCTGTAAGTCCCGCGTTCACCCACCCACCGCCTTCCTCCCTCAGGGCAACACTTGCCATCAGTGCAGGCAGAAGACCATCGACACCAAGACGGTGTGTCGGAACCAGGGCTGCGGTGGGGTCCGAGGACAGTTCTGTGGGCCGTGCCTGCGGAATCGCTACGGGGAGGACGTGAGATCTGCACTGCTGGACCCGGTAGGAATGGTGTGCGCACTTGTGAATTGCACTGGCAAAGAGAAGCAAGCTGAGATGGATGGGGCTCTTAGGACCCTTTATGATCGGGGACCTGTAGCTGCAGAGCTCGGTCTACCCCTCGACACTCCAGAGGAAAAAAAAGGGTTTCCTTCTGGAAAGAGAGCAAGCTGACCCATAGGGCAGAAGAGATGACTGGGTTTTCCAGGGTCCAAGCCTTGCTTTCCTACCGTTATGGTCTGTCTGGTGAACCTGTGTGGCTTTCCTCCAGCAGCATGGCTTACCTCAGGCGAGGCCAGGGAACAGGTGTGTGTCACTGTGTGCCTGGCTGTCGTCTAAGGTGTTTTCCTAACACAGTCGACTTGCAGTTGTTACTAAGTCATTTAAATTTATGAAGTCGAGTATATAACCTCCCAGGTCCTCAGTTCCCTCCTTGAAGTGATATAATAGTATGGTTAGTATGTATCTGCTTGAACCTAGGCAGTCTGGCCCCAGAGTCTGTGCTCTTACTTGACCCCTGCCATGTGACCTCTTTCACAGCAGTCATGGGGTAAATCACTGTCCCCATTTTGCAGATGAATATAGACCATGACTCCGGTTATGTGGTTTAGGAAGTAGAAGAGCTAGAATTCACACGTCCGTCTTGCTGCTCTTTTGTACTCCTAAAATTCTCCACAGTTTGAAGCAGGCATCTAATTTTCTGTGTTTCTCCACACGTGGAACCCTGGGTGGTCAACCTCTCTGGGCCTTTTGAATCATGGGGAGGAGACTCGTTTAGTCTCCCTGTGCCATATACTAGAAGTATCCTGTGACTGAAGGTTGGAGGAGAGACCAAGTGAGCCGGGCTTGAGCACAATGTAGGTAATGGGAAACTGCTCTTCCAGGATTGGATGTGTCCTCCCTGCCGTGGGATCTGCAATTGCAGTTACTGTCGCAAGCGTGATGGCCGCTGTGCCACAGGGATCCTCATTCACCTAGCCAAGTTTTACGGTTACAATAATGTTAAGGAATACCTGGAGAGGTAAGTCACAGGTCACAAATGGAGGCTGTCCTCTCCAGCTCCAGCCGGGGAGACCGTGGAGGCGGGAGTGGTTGCCATATTTCGGGCAGATGCTTAAAAGCCATCTTGAGTGCCATCCATTCCCTAGCTGCTTGCATTAGAGCAGCTCAGGGCTGATGTGTTCCCTATTGGAACGTTTCCCTCCTTTGCTAGGATCTTCAGCTTTGGCACTGCCTGTATCCCCAGTTCCCCCCTCATTGTGTAAAACAGAAATGGAAGCAAGCAGGCTGAGGGGAGAGGTTGGGGCAAAGGGTGTGGCCGACACGGTTACTGCTTTCCAGGGCTGAGGAAGCTGCGTTGGGATTCTGCAGTGTGGTTTGGTATGCAGGAGTGAGGCCCGTGGCTCCCGCTGCCTGGCCAAGGAGTCAGGGCAGGCCTGCCGCAGAGGGGCTGGGCTGTGCACTCAAGCCTAGAACCCGGCTTTGTGTTCGTCTCCATACCATCACACTGATGCCTCCCTTCTTTTCCTCAGCTTACAGAAGCAGCTGGTAGAAGATGATTAAGAACAAAACCAGCCACCTCACCGTAAAGAACTCTAGCAACATATGCCATCCCACGGGTGCCTATGATTTCTTCCAGTTGTGTTTTTATACAGAAGTTGTTCGTAGATCTAAATACTATTTTTTTAAGATTGTTTATATGCTTAAAAAGGTTTCTCAGGAAACGGCAAAGCAGAGGAATCTATTTACATATATCCACGGGCCCCTATGCGTAGTGAGTGGTTTTAAAAGCATCTGCATATGACAAAAACACAGCTTAAATGGGGTGGAGTTAAAGTCCAGGTAAGTTCCAGGGCAAACGTTGCGTAAGCAGCTCTTGCCTTTGACACTGTTTGGTGCCTTGATCTTTACCTCCCAGGCAGTGACCACAGTTCAGACCAGGTAGTTAGTGCTTCTCTGGGTCATTGGAAATTTATGTTAAAGAAAGAATGTTCTCTTAAATTACAAAGTGCAATTAACCCATAGATCTTGAGTACTAGAGTTTTATTTTTATTAAAAGTCACCTGTCACGTTACCGACACTGGAGTTCTGGGGACACTGCTGGCCGGCAGGACCGTCTGCCTCTTCCTTCAGGATTCACTTGCTGCCTGAGGTCAGGGGCTTCTAGGTTTTTGTAATTTAAAAAGATTTTGTTTATGTGCAAGAACTCAAATCCCACTTTCTGATGGGGAGACCGTTAAGGACGGTGTTTAAGCAAAATTAACGCACATGTAAGTTACTTAAAAATTCCAGAAGCTGGAGTGTGTTTTATGGCTCTCAGTAAATTAATGTGTGCGGGCCCCCCCCCCCCGGCCAAGGCCTGTGTTGTCCGAGCCTGAGGGCCATCTCAGGCTTCCAGCAGCAGGGCCACGCCTGCCAGGACCCATTTGGCCACCTTGTCTTTGCTTTTCAATCTGAAGGTCCACACGTAGGTTGGGCCCCTCATTTTGGTTTTGTACACCGGGCATTCATAGGTGTGTTTAGTTTCCTGTCTGTCTGTGGGTATGGCTTTTGCAAAGATAACCGGCATCACAGATGTTAACTCCTTGAGGCAGGCATCAGCAATGGTTCCTGACTGTGTGTCCCATCTGGCACCTATAGCACAAACACAAGGATTGCAACAGTGTGGTGTGTTGGAAGCAATAAATGTTCAGTTTTGTCGTTACTGCTTGTTGGCTTCCTTACTGGTGTGGGAAGTTAAGGGGTGCCACAGAAACACTGGCGGCAGGGCTCAGGGTTCCACGTCTAAACTTTCCTTTGAAAAATGAACTAATTTGAATTCAAAAGATCTAAACCTTGTTTGAAAACACACTCTCCAAGAATTCAGGCACAATAAAGCAAATGAGTTTGTCCTCTCCTTAAAAAATTGAATTCTTCAAAATGAATGCCTTTCCTCTCACCCACCCACATTAGAGATTCGCATGCACTGGCATCTTAAGGGCTTAAAGAAATCTTGTAGTAAAATGTCAGAGTGAAGTGACAGTTTTTAATTGCTTCACAATCTTTTTAGTGTAGGTCTTAATGCCACAGGTAATTTAACACTAGAAACAGATGCAGATTTAAGTGACAGCCATCACCCTACGTGCCTTAAAACTTGGCTGACGTTGGACCCAGATCCTGGCATTAAATGTGGTAAAACGAGGTAGACAACTGCTAGATGTGAGTGAGTACAGAGGAGTGGAGTAAACCAAGGACAGATACCAACTTGCAACTGATCGAAGAAAGCTCCTAAATTAAAAACTACACCTGTGCTGCTTGTGCTATCTTACCTTCCATGAGGAGCCCGTGGAGATAGGCACCTTCCCGTGGAGGATGGCCATAATCTTCCTTGGTTTTTTTGGTAACATCAACAGTCAAGCACATTTTGTCCAGGGGCCACTCATTTTTGCGAGCCATGGTCTGCATGATTGCTGTGGGAAGAGAAGGAGCAGGAAATGGGATGTAGTGGTAAAAGGGCTCCCAGGGGCCCACAGTCAGCTGCCTTTCTGACTGAGGCATTGTGCTGTGCTTCGGGTTCCTGGAAATGTGCGTGTGGCTGCGCTAGACTGATGGCCAACTGAGGCCTGCAGGACACCTCCCTGCTTGTGTACATGAACTTTTACTGGAATAGCCAGGCCCATTTGGTTACACAGCATCTGGTTTTGCACTGTGGTGGCAGAAGGGAACCACTGGAGAAGAGACCCCCGTGGCCTTTGACAGAAAATGTTTATATCCCACTTCACGTGGCTGCTATGCTTGGAACTTTACTTTCTCTGCACACACAGCTATCACTCCTGCCCCTCCCTCCTGTGTCATGAGCACTGGGGAGCAGGGCAGGTGAGGCAGGATTTGTGCCAGAAGCTGGGGCCGCCCAGTAGGAGCCCTTACCAGTTAAGAAGGACTGAGGGTTGAAGAAGCCAGGAAGCCACACTACAGCTGGAAGGGCAAGATCGTGGGTCCAGGTTTCAAGTTCCCGGCATCGCAAAAGGAGGTCATTAAACCTGGTAAACACGAGGTAGGAGGAAACAGAGTTTTCCGATAAGGTGAAGTAGATTCTTTAAATTTTTTTTTTTTAATGTTTGTTTATTTTTGAGATAGAGCATGAACAGGGGAGGGTCAGAGAGAGGGAGACACAGAATCTGAAGCAGGCTCCAGACTCCGAGCTATCAGCACAGAGCCCAATGCAGGGCTTGAACTCACGGACTGTGAGATCATGACCTGAGCCGAGATCGGACACTCAACCGAGCCACGCGGGCGCCCCGATGAAGTAGATCCCTTTAAAAAGATTTTCTTTCCTGTTGAAATTTTTTAACTATTACCACTAGGGACAAGAAACACTGAGGAATGTGGAAAATTCATCTCTACTTAATTTTATTTAGATGCTCTTAGTGATACGTGGCAACCACACCCAGGTGATGTGTGTATAATCCACCTGACAGGCTCCAACAGAGTGTGGACGAGGTGTGTGCGTGGCAATGCGTGTGTGTGTAAGGATTGGGGTGGGAAGGATGGCTGCTGGGAAGGGCAGAGGCAGTAGAGCCCAGACAGTGGACTTTCCATATACAATAGGAATGGGGGGAAGAAAAAGCTAATAAGGGGAAACCACAACTCTGAGCCTCTACATGACTGTGGTTTGGGAAAATGAGGTTTTTTTACCCAAGTTCAGAACTCATCACAACAGTTTTTCAAGGAAGGAGACTAACTCTCACAGAGGCTATGGGAAAATTAGCTTCTCTGATAAAATCAGGAGACCTGTCAAGCTTTGAAATGTAGGATTCAGGGCTGCCAGAAAGAGAGAATGGAGCGTGTGTATGTTAAAGCCAGCAGGGAGTTCTCTAGGGTGAGGGCCATGCAGGCTAGCCCTGAAGTTTCCTGGCACCTGGTTTGGTTATGTGTTACAAAAGCAGCAAGGCTGATGCTCACATTCACGCTTGGGTCACTACAAGTTTGTTGTAATGCCTGCCAGTTTACAGCATGGCTCTTACCTGCCCCATGCCAGTTCTTCCAAATCTCTGGTTTAGGGAAAACATAATTGACAAGGCAACAAAAAGGAAAAACAAAGACTTTCAGGGCCACTTGGGTGGCTCAGTTGGTGAAGCATCTGACTTTGGCTCAGGTCATGATCTGGTGGTTCATGAGTTCAGGCCCCACATCAGGCTGTGTGCTGACAGCTCAGAGCCTGGAGCCTGCTTCAGATTCTGTCTCTCTCTGTCCCTTCCCTGCTTGTGCTCACTCTCTTAAAAATAAATAAAACGTTAAAAAATAAAAAACTAAAAAGATTTTTTATCTAAAAATGTTACCACAAGAGGCTATGCATTATAGCCAAATTACAACAAGTTTTTAAAAAGGGAAATGATTGCCTGTATAAACAAGATTCTGGTTTGGAAATGACCAGGTAAGAAAAATGAAATTAGGAAGAAAAGCATTTTAAAATTAAATGGAAAATACACAAAAACTCAAAATGGATGAAAGACCTCAATGTAAGACAGGAAGCCATCAAAATCCTAGAGGAGAAAGCAGGCAACAACCTCTTTGACACTGGCCACATCAAGTTCTTAACACATCTCCGGGGACAAGGGAAACAAAAGCAAAGATGAAGTGTTGGACCTCATCAAAACAAAATGTTTCTGCACAGGGAAGGAAACAACCAGCAAAACTAAAGGCAGCTGATGGAATGGGAGAAGATATTTGCAAATGACATATCAGATGAAGGGTTAGTATCCAAAATCTATAAAGAACTTATCAAACTCAACACCCAAAAAACAAAATCCAGTGAAGAAGTGGGCAAAAGACATGAATAGACACTTCTCCAAAGAAGACATCCAGATGGCCAACC